AGCTCATGAAAAATGGGGACAAAAACAAAAGTGTTGCGTTTATCATTTTGTTCAGTATATATATATATATGTTTAGTACAAGTACACTGCTATTACCTGCACACAAAAAAATCTTTATTATATTGCACTGACTGCGGATATTTTTATTTTTATACAAACTTCTATATTGCATTGACAATGTAAACACTTGATGAGAGAGAAGAGAAACAGTATTTCGATTCCTCTGTATGTCTGCACATATGGTGAAACCTTGAAACCTTGAAACATGACCTTTCAGAAATCATTCTAATATGATGATCTGGTGCTTAAGAAGCATTTATTATTTACTATTACTATTATTAACTTATTATTATAATGAATTTATCATTTATTATTACTTATTATCGATGTTGAACACAATTGCACTGCTTAATATTTTTGTGGAAACCTTGGCTTGATAATTTTCAAATACAAACAAAGAAAATAATTCCAGTTATAGGGTAGCTTTACTGTAGTTTAACAACTAACTCGGCTACTTAAATTATGAGTTTATGAGCAACACCGGACAGATTCTCCTGCTTAACTTCCACTTCCAAGAAACACGTAGATTATCAGCACTAGAGGGAGCTTTTGGTCAATCTATGTTTGATTCAGAGAAAGGAAAAATTTAAATCGCATCATATGACCCCTTTAAGTCTGCATTTGATATAGACATTACAATAGTTTCTCTACTTTCTCTATCTCTCTTCTTTCCTCAATAACATCAGTACATCAGTATATCACTTTCATTGTGAAATAACAGCAGGTCACAACAAAGATATCAAGTATTTGGTCTGCAGATATGAGCAAGCTTATCCATCCACACATTTTGATCATATTAAGATGCGGCAGAACAACATAACTCTCCTCTGTTCTGTTCTGCTCTGCTCTGTTCTGTCTATTCTGTTATGTACGGTCAGGAATAGCATGACTGAATGCAGGGAGTATTAGTATTTAGGTTTGAAATTAGTACAATGTGGTCAATTTCCTAAATGAGTGAGATTATAAATAGATCAAACTCAGTACTGGTGAGAACATTATGAGTTTGATTGACAGCCCACTGTCGTTAGTCACTGTCACAGTAGTATTCATGTTTGCATATGGTATAATCTGGGTTGTGCTGTGCGGTAAATTCAGCACAGAGCCAGCTAGCTGGTCTTTTGTTATGTAGGCATGTCTGAAGGGTGTGCTGTGTTTGTTCTGAAAGCATTAATACTGGGAGGAGCTATTCTCAATGAAGGTCTGAAGGACTGTGAAAAAGGAGTGTGATTGTACCTTAACGAATTTTGGCTTTATGGTCATGCTGTGCGTGTGTGTGTGTGTCGCAGTAGGTCACTGCAGTGTGACTGAGGTCCTGAGCCAACAACCATATGCTCTGCATCAACAAGTAAAAATAGTAGCACATACAACGACTTGAACACAAGTGCTACTCACTGTGGCTTACCAAAAGGTACACTGACCTTAAAAGTTCACTGAGTCTTAATGCATGCTCACCTCATCACCTGACCTCTCCATAGCACATCCTGAGTATTTGGGATGTTTGTACACACATTCATACACATAAATGTTTTAATATTTTTATATGTTTGTCTGTCTGTGTGTACACAGTGTATGTACACAGATAAACATAAGCATTTACAATGGGATCCACCACTCATGATAATGCTTCTATTGTGTATTCTTTTCTATTTTAATACAATGTTATTCATTACAAATTATGTTATTATTTGCATTAAATGATTTAGTAGATTTTTTAGTAGATTTTGTATATTTGAATTAAAACATCTTACCAATGAGGAACATCAGCAACGGTTTTTCATACAGTATTCACAGTATTGCAATGCTGAATTGCAAGAACAAGCTAGAATTGTACAGAAGTTATAGAGCAGAAATTAAACGCATAGAGGACAAAAAAAGTAGAAAAAGTTTTGGTAACACTTTTTAATTGATGTGAGCTTAATACTCCAACTGAAAAAAATGACTACAGCTTGTGAGTGGTTAGATGTTGAGTGTTTCCTGTAGAGCTAATGTTATTTAATTGATGTGAGCTTTATACTCCAAGTCTCCAACTGAAAAAAATGCAATGTTTTATATGGTTACATTTTATTTTGATGGTCCCCTTAATCAATCGACTATAAGTAACTTTGCAACTACATGCCAACTAACTCTCATTAGAGTATTAGTATGCTCAAGAATGGTAGAATCTAGTATGGTAGAATAAGTTGACGTACTTGCAAAGACACTTAAAGTCAGTTTATCTGTTGGTTGCCCATCACAATAAAGTGTTAGCATATATTTACAGTAGCAGACATACTAATACTCTAATGACCGCTAGTTAATATGTAGTTGCAGAGTTACTTATCAACAGCTGTTTAAAGGGTACCATCAAAATAATCAAACTGATATTACAATAAAAATAGTTCAAAGCAAATGTGTCATATTACACATTCATCTGATCTGATATCTGATAAAATTTATTATTATTATTATTATTATTACTACTTATAAGTGGTCTTTGACCGCTTTAAGTAAAGTAGCATAAGAAAAATGGCAAGATATGAGACTTATAATACATTATAACTATGAGAAATATAATCCATTGTAAAAGTGGATGCAATGTGCTCATTGTGTTATAAATCATCATACTCTTAAAAGCTATAACCACAAATAATTAAATATTATAATATATTAAAACTGTTCTTATGAATATTCATGAGATGATACAACATATTATAAGGTTTTTTATAATGCATTATGCATTCATTATAAACCCTTATAATTCATAGAAAGTGTTACCAAAGTTTTTTTTTAACGTTTTATGGTTTTAGTTTATAAGGGCACACAAACAAAGGTGTGTCTTCATGTGTTTCTTAAATGTTGTGGAAAGTGAAGGTTCTGGAAAGTGACTATCTACTTAGGAATTAAAAAATCATTTTTTGCTTTAATAACAGCAGCACATGCAAGAGCTGCATGAACTTTATGAGTTTGTGTAAAACCTGATTATGCTGCATGATTTGAGAATTATCCCAATTGCATTTTGTGCTTCACTCAAAGCAAGAAAATCTGATGGTGCAGATTGTTGATTGGTGCATTTGATAGTGACCTATAAGTGCAGAATTTAAAAGACTTCATATTCATTTTACAGCATAACTTGCCTTTCTATTTGAAAAAAATCTAAATCCTAAAACTTTTAATTCATTCTAAGAAGGGAAAAAAAAAAGAATTTCCGAACTTTGGTTTTCACTGTATTTATGTATAAATGTATGCAGGTATGCATGCAGTCTATGTATGATAAAAAAAAAAGTTAAAGAGCGGATATTCAATGACTTTCTCTCAGAGATGAAAGGACAGATAGGCTAATGAGGACGATTTCTTGCCATAAATGATTCATTCTGCACCGTTCTGGGAACATGTGAGGATAGAAGTGGGTGGTTCGGGGGTCTCGCTGGACGTTTTGAGTTATTCTGGGAGATAATTAGTGCCTGTATTTTGCCTGCACTGTCACGACTCAGCGCTGCGCAGCAACGGGTGCGGCGGTACTTCACCTGCGGCGAGCAGCACGGCTGTGTCCCCTCCCTTATCCAATAGAGGGAAAATATCCACACACACACACACACACACACACGTCCACTTCCGGACACGACTGTGCCAATCCAACCCTCTGTCCTGAGTTTTATCATGCAGCATGCGCAGATGTACCAGCATTCACAACGCTGAAAGACTAAACAGCGCGACGCTCGCAAAACTTAATTCAACTTTAGGAACGGGATAGACTCGTTCACCGCTCTCACAGGAGGTTTTCACACTCTCTGGCCGGTTTGAATGACAAAGGCGATCCCGTGGGAAAATCACGCGCCTTCACAAAATGGATAAAGGAACGGGACTCCGTCCTGTGATTTTGATTATTGCTCTTGGTAAGTTGACTAGTTCTTGATTAAGAAACGCCTGTACTCATTATTTTAAGGTAACGAGTAGGCTTGGTTTATTAAACGCGTGTGAAAAGTGTATGTTTGCATTTAATTAGTTTAGATAACAACAAAAGCGTTATAGACACACATTGTGTCTTTATTGTAAACTCTTAATATGGTTGTTTATATTATTATTTTATGACAGAATTCAGCTTGATGTTTTTCAGGTCGACCTCAAATTTCAGTCAAATTCTAATTCAGTCTAATGAGAACAATTTTTCCTTATCAGTTTATATAGGCCATTTACTGTTAACCAACAATATTACATTGGTCTGTTAATAAGCTTGTTTTATTTTTCTTTTAAGATTTATTGCCCCC